CCCACCGCTGCCAGGCAGCGAGCCGGCTTCTTCGGGCTGCCTTCCCCGGCCTTGCGCCCCGGCCGCCGGAACGGAGCCCGGGGTTGCCCGCGGGGGCCGGTGCGCCCCTCACGCCCGGGACAACTGGGAACCCCGGAGCCCCGGCTTCAGGTCGCGGGAAGGGCCGCCCCGCCACGGCCCCGACGCGCAAGGAGGAAGGGAGCGAGGGAGAGGGACCCGAAAGGCCCCGGAAAACCACACCCGGGCCCCGAGGCCCAGTTCCAAGTAGGAAGGGAGGCGGCCGGCCCGCTCCTCAACAGCAGCCGGGATCCGTCCTTCGCCCGGGGGCCGCCATCGGGTCCCGCGCGCAAGACCCGGAGCCAGCACCCCCTCCCCGCGGCCGAGGACCGCGCGCCCGTCCCTCACGCTCCGGGGAGAAGGCACACCGGGCTCAGGGAGCCGCCGCCGGGGACCGACCGGGACGGGCCGCGGGCGCCCAGGCTTCGGACAGAGCGCGGCCCCCGCGGACTCCTCGGCGCAGCGCCGCCCGACCCCCGGCGGGGACCATGGCGCGTCCCCGGGCGAGGGGGGCGTCCTTTCCCCGTAACCGTCCTTCTCGGCTCCTGTCTGAGGACGCACGGCCAGCGGACCGCGCCCCGAATCCCAGCCTCAGGCCGGAGTGGACTGACAGGCCGGGCGCGGGCTAAATACGTCATGGCGCCGGCGCCGGAAGTCCCGCCCCTGCCTGACAGGCGTCAGGAAACGCCATCTGCTGCGCGGTCATGACGCAACGCCTAGGCTCCGGACACAGGCTTCTGGGTAATGTAGTTCGTTGCGCTGCATCCAAATGAGCGTGGGGCAGCTTTGAGATGCTGGTGAGGGCGGCGCGAAGGCGCCCAGAACTTTAGTGGCGGGAGAGTGTCTTAAAGGGGACGCGCCCACATTTCCGTGGTGGACGGGGACCCATTCTGTAATCCTGGAAGAGGTGCTTCACTTCTTCCACTGGAGATGTATGTTTGTATGTACGTATGGGGGAGGGCACTGAGATTTATGTTGAGCAAGGGCCTGGCCAGTGCTGCTCAGTGGTTGAGCCTCAACCTATGAACCTGGAGGTCACAGCTCAGGGCACATGTCCCAGTTGCGCCTGGATCCCCAGGAGGGAGGGGCCATGCAGGAGGCAGCCAGTCGATGAAGTTCCTCTCATCGGTGTTTGTATCCCTCTCCCTAAAAATCAGTTAAAACAAACCAACCAACCTCCCCCCTACACACACAATATCACCTCACACCTTTAAGAATGGATGCCATCAGGAAGATAGATAAGCTTGGCAGGTGTGCTCAGTGGGTGGAGCGTCAGCCTGCAGACTGAGGGTCCCGGGTTCATTCTGGTCAAGGCACATGCCTGGGCTGTGGGCTCATCCCCAGGGAGGGGCATGCAGGAGGCTGCTGATCCATGATTTTCTCATCATTGATGTTTCTCTCTCTCTCCCCCTTCCTCTCTGAAATCAATAAAAATATATTTTAAAAAAATTAGCCCGGACGGGTTTGGCTCAGTGGATAGAGGGTCGGCCTGCGGACTCAAGGGTCCCGGGTTCGATTCCGGTCAAGGGCATGTACTTTGGTTGCGGGCACATCCCCAGTGGGGAGTGTGCAAGAGGCAGCTGATCAGTGTTTCTCTCTCATCGATGTTTCTAGCTCTCTATTCCTCTCCCTTCCTCTCTGTAAAAAATCAATAAAAATATATATTAAAAAAAATAAAAATAAATCTACCTTATGATTCAGCAATTCCACTTCTGGGTATGTAGCCAAAGGAAAGGAAAAACAGGCTATTGAAGACACATATAAACCCGTGTTTATTACAGCATGTTCACAACAGCCAGGAAGTGCGGACAGCCTAGTGCCAGCGATGGATGGATGGATGAAAGAAGGTGCGATACACACACACACACACACACAGAGGAATATTGTTCAACCTCGAGACAGGAGGAAATGCTGTCATATGTGAATCACGGGTGGACCTTGAGGACATTATGCTGAGATAAGTGAGACAGAGAAGGACAAACCTTGCATGATGTCCCTTATAGGTGGAATCTGAAACAAACAAACAAAACAAAAAGGACTAAAAAAAACAAGGAGAGGGCTGGTGGTTTACCCAAGGCTGGTGGGTGGGGACAGGAGAGTGTGAAGGGCACATACTTGCAGCTAGTAGGTCAATGGTTCCTGGAGGCCCCGGAGGGAGTTACACAGGACGGAGTTACACACAATGATGTGATCATAAGCATCAAACGTGACATGTGCTCCCACCACAGAGGACACCAGAGGTGACAGCTATCGCCAGACGGCAACCACTGTGCAATATAAAGCTATCAGATAAATAGACTGTGCATCTTAGACTTACGCAACATCATGTCAATTATATCTCAAAAACATGTCATAAATACATTAACCTGAGGCCTTGAATGGTCTTAACCTGTACAGTAAAGCATGCCCATCCACAGGTACTTCTCTCCTCCGATACAGTGTGCATTTGGGAACATTTTCTAGTATTCTTCTGCAGGCTCCATAGATGATCTCCTACAGGCTCA